GCGATGGCGGGGCCGATGTCGTGGCCGGTGTCACTGATGAGCATTCCTCCTGTGGACTCGGAGGGCCCGTGATGGCGAGCCCCGTTCGTAGGGGTTGCTCTGGAGTACGCGTCACCGGAATTTGAGAAGCGACTGGCGCGGGCGGATTTGTTCCTTCGGCGCATGAGCATCATTCCGATGAATATCAGGATCAAGAGGGCGATTATCCCGGCCACAACGCCTCCTGCAATTGCCCCTGTATTGGACTTCTTGGCAGATGACACAGGCACTGGCACTGGTGTGATGGAGGATGTGGATGATGGAGCGATCGTAGATGTGGCAGAGGTGGATGTGGCAGACGAGGATGAAGATGTGGACGTCGCTATGCATGATGTGTCGCTGCCGCCGCTGATGAGGAACACATCAGACCGTACGTTGCTGCTTGCTCCGATGGTTCCCAAAACAACATAGTATCCTGCCGGGAGATTGACTGGCGACCATGTATAGAGGTCTGGGCCCGGGTCTATACCTACGGCAATGTTGGTCAAGACGGTGGGCGGTGGGGGAATAATGTTGGTCTGATTAACATCTTCGTTTGTTATCGCCAGCGTGAGCAGGTCCCCGGCGGATCCTATGTATGACCATGCGATGTCGGCCGGCTGGCAAGTTGTGACATTAGTGGGGGTGGAAAAAATCAGTCCCTGTTGGACTGGGCCGGGTGAAGATACGGTGGGCGGAGTTGCTGAGCTTGTAGTCGTACTCGATGCTACACTGAGCGGCGATCCTTGGCGCCTCCCAAGGTCGATAGCATTGGCTGTGGCTACCACGAGGGTGAAGACCAAGGCCGTAGAGAAAGTCGTGCGCATGATATCGCTAGCCTGCGTCATTTAGCGCCATGTGAAGGAGAAATGTGTTCAGAATCACTCACTCGACAGAATCACCGGGATTTGAGCGGCGTCACAATTGCACTTTAAACCAGTCAATCTGAAGAGAGACTAGGAGGAAAGGGATCCGGAGCGTCCAAGTAGAAAAGCCGCGCCCGTCGTGGTAGGAACAGCACAAGAGCATGCGCTCTGCACCGCTTCAGTACTAGTGCCTGTGACCAATCGTAGTTCCGGGGTCGCATGTCCGTGACAACCGAAACTCCACTCAACCAGTCCCAAGATAGTTGCCACAATGCCACAATGCCACAAGTTTGCCACAAATGTTTCAATCAGGTTCCTCTCAGCCATCAGGCGGTACTCTCGTCCTAATACCATACAGGCCACTGCGGATTTCACATTGTAGCCACCAGTCCTTAAATTTACAAAGAATAGCTATGGTTATTGTCATGCAAGTGGGAAACCATAGTTGTAAAAGTGAACACCAAAGAGGAGCAAAGCAAGCAAACACGAAGCAGCAAACAAACAGAAAGAAGGTGGTATATACAGAAATGTTTGAATAGAAAAAATAGGAAGATTAAGGTAGTACAGAAAGGAACATTGATTTCAGCAAGGCAAATAAACAGTCTTGAAATCTCGAAGCTTCTAGCAGTTTCTGTCAAGTTATTTACATTTTACTGTATAGGTTCAGTCACGTGTCGCATATGGCCGTGAACCAACCGTGAACTGAACGGCTGAGGTGCCTCATCACGCATCACGCAGAGGAATGAACTAGTCAGTATATATGCGTCACGGAAAGTGGTAGAAACATAAATTTTGCTAATAACAATGATTCAAAAATTATGTGAACCCCTTAAGACGCCCCACTGCAGATCAATGCCCTTCCCAGGTTATCGCCGTACCTCTTAGAGTTCAGTGTGCGGGTTAGAAAAGATATCAATCATTTTAGCGGTACACATCGCTCGCCACGCAGTGCTTCTACACAATTGAAAAATTTTATTTCAGCACAAACAAATGCTTCAGTCGGCTAGGAAAATTCATTGCCATAGCCCGAGGTCCGGCTCATGTGAACAAGAACATAATCTACGCCGCGGCATACGTAGTTGCTGCCTTGACTCTTTTCCATAGACTCCTAGTTATTGTTTTCAGAGTGTTGACGAAGACATAAATGGCGGCATTATATTATTACTAAGTAGGGTGAGACGACGATGAATATCAGCAACATTAAACCAGGTGATTACTCTGTGTCCCTCCATGGCCTGTCCACACCTTCGTCATCCTCCACATCCTTGGCACCTCCATGATCGGTACCAGCCAGGGTCATCTCCTCCATACGCCTGGTGAAATCATTCATGTCTGCCACACCAGCTTCATGCGATCCTCGGGCGTAGCCATATCCTGCACCGCCCTCGACAGGAGCAAGGGGATCCCAAGTGATAAATTTGCCACGCCATCCCCCATTGCGATGAACATAATTTAGGAAAGAGCGCCAGAGGGGATCCAAGGAGAGTACAGACGGATCGCCGATCACGATGAGCATGGCTTGCGCTCGCGTTACAGCAACTAAACTCTGACATTAGAACGTGGCTAGAGAGCATAACCAAAGTGACTGACCATTGAATCTGCGAGGATTGGCTACAAAGCCCAAAGTGTGTTTCAGATCATACTCTATAAAATCGCGGCTGCTTCGGACAGTGGAGATGATAATGATTTTCCGCTCCTGCGGTGAAAGCATAAATAGAAGTACAAGCTAAGTAAATAAAGATACTGACCTGGCCTTGGAATTCTTCTACACTTCCAACCTTGACTCCGTCAGCAATTGGGCGCAACACAGCCCGTATCTTGAGGCATTGTGCGTGGTAGGGCGTTATAATTCCAATATCTTGGTCTGTAACACGAAAGCGCCGGTCGGAGCGAAGGCTCTGAACGTAGTTCTTGACCAAACTGGCTTCGTCGATATTAAAGAAAGAAGGGGAAGAAGCCTCGCGATCATCTCTGCCTGACACTGCGTGGAACACAATAGGGAATGTGCTGGAGACGAGCTGGGGATATCCAATCATGGCATTGATGGTTTTGACGTCTCCGTATGGCTCCAGCTCGCCCTTATAGAACCTCTCATTAGGGAACTTGAGGATATCTTCATGAGATCTAAAGTTCTTGACAAGTTTGACAACACTGTAAGAGGGTTCAGTTACTAGCCTCAATACGTGCAAAGGAATACTTACGTGCGTCCATGTCCTGTTGATTCGTTGTAAAGTTCAGATTTCATCAGGCGTTCCAGGTAACTTGGCTCCAGGCCGAGATCCCGTGCGACACCAGAACGGATAATAGGCCCAAGCTGCTGAGGATCCCCGCTCAGAATGACATTAGTCGAGACATCGGCAAGAGTTTTATGCCAATCATAATCTCAGGCTCGTCACCTATATTATATCAATAGATTTGTTCAGACGAGTCAACACAATGGCTAACCAACAAGAACACTAGGGCGTTTCTCCGCAAGACCTGGAATAGTAACACTGCACACCAGACAGTCAATTATCGAAATGAAGCACTTCGATGATGATGCATACTAGTAGTATTGTGCGTGGGTGGTCATTGTAGCGTCGGTGATGTCGTACATTTCAAGATCGCGCCTGGAATCCGGTGAGTGATTGCACAGCAGTGATGTTGACATTCTACTCACTCCATGCGATACTCCTCGACCCAGAGCAAGTTCTTGAAGTGTCTGCCGTATGTATTGCTGTCCCAGATACGCGGTAAGAAAACTCTTCCTATACGGCTGACGACTTCGTGCATTGGACCCGTGGACAGCGAAATGGCGAGAGGTTTGGGGATATCGGCGCGGCACAGTGCGACGACATATGGTATGGCCTTCAATGTGGGCGGCAAAACACCCTCCAGGACCTCGGTTTCTGGCTCTCTGACGACGCGCTTGCGAGGCACAAAAGGCGCGTATGCCTTGAGCAATTCGTAGTCTGCTTTGTTGCCCACGATAGCCTTCAATGGTCGGACGATAACAAAACGTTGATGGCCAAGACTGCTGTCTTCGAATAGTATCTCGAGGCGGTCTTCATACCGGCCGTGGTCTATCTCGTTAAACTTGACGCGTGCGGTAATGGGTCGTCCGTACCCCAAGGGGCCGCAAAGTAAGTTGGAGAGGAAAAATCTTGTGCACGTCAGTAACCTGGTTTCATAGAAATACAAACAGCACGCACGATGAATTTGCACGACTAGACATCGACAGTTTGTAGTCGATTATTGATACACAAGACGCAGGGATAGTGGTTCCCACCGTGAAAGTGAGACTTACACCATTACCAGCATCGACAGTATTGACAACACCAAAATCGAGACCAGTGGACACTGTGACACCGTGCTTGTCTTTCTCGGCTTCCTCCAAAGCAGTCTTGTAAGTAGTCACGGACTCCTTCTTTCGGTGCGCCAATCCTTGTACATGCCCCAGCCACTGGTATGTGGGTATATATTTGTCGCATAGACCACAATGTGTGCAGCCAGTCATTTCCGCTCCCTCTGGCTCAACGGCAGGAGAAACACCTTGCAGTCCAGCTTGCCGATTGTGCGGCGCACCCGTGACGTGGTGATTCCAAGTGAGAAAACCGAAAACCGACACGCGGCAAATGGGGCACATGAGCTGCGCAGATAGCCCCAGCATCTTTGAGCGATGTTTTTTCCCGCGTAGATGCGCATTGCACGCGTGAGTGGAGGTGCACAAAACATCGCAGTCGTCGCATATCCGCACGTCGTGGTTGTATGGACAGTAGTCGGAGCTACACGACCCATGAGCTTGCAGCAGCGGGCAAATCTGCACCATGAGAGGCTTTGACTTTACAGTAAGAAGAAAAGCTGATCCAAGTGTAACTTTGGGCCAGTGCTGAGTGGTGCAGAGGAAACTTGCATTTAAGCGCCCACAAATTAGTGCAACGCATTGATGCCGATTTGTGGCGTTACCGATATATTTTCAATCCACGCTCCTCATAGCTCCTACCTATCAAAAGCTTGACGTTCGTTGTCCCACAAGAGAATCAGACGGCGGGGTCTAATGAGAGCTTTAAAATGTGTGGGAGAAGTTGCTACAATGACTGTACAGATCAAGATTACCTGAAGCGTTGAGCAACAAAAGGTTCGCTGGCCTAGCGGTTATGGCATCTGTCTTACATTCTTTAAAACGTTGTTTGCACACAGAAGGTCGAGGGTTCGATCCCCCCGCGAATCATTTTTCCTCTGTAGACAGAGAGTTCAATAAGCAACGAGGCGACAGGCACATAATATAAATGCAGATCTTCCTGTAGGGGAGAGAAGGGAGAAAGAAAGAAAATTTAATCGCGAAGTCAGAGTTCACCGGGGATCCCATTATAATTTTTGCTTTACAACTCCATCCTGCAGATTTGAACATCTGTAGCGTATAGTCAAGGCTCAAATAAGAAGCATGACTCTTTTCACGACATGATCATATGAGTTGGAGATAAGTAAATGCTATCGGAGGCAAAGTTTACCGCAATCCATATAACAATTATATATTCTTGTTGACAGTCTGGCACTCAATCCTACACATTTGAAGCTCAATCTGCTGTAAGGCTGAGTGAAAGCTGGAGTAAGAACATAATGTGAGTCACATTGTACAAAAACATATAGATGATGTGCTAAAGTCTGGCATGTCACTTGGATTCGAAGTCTCGATTTCTATATTGCAACCAAGTTATTACCGTTCAGAGAATTGGCGGAGTTAGATACATTGACTGTACGAATTCGGCCCTCGATATATTTTGTCAATGGGTCCCTGGCATATTTTAAAATGTAGTGGAAGAGGTGGGTGATGCTGATGCACTGATTGCAATTCCCTATCGCGGTTTGGCGTTGGCGTGCACCGTACCAGACCTAAGTCGTAATGGCAGTCCAAACATGAAGAAATCAGAAGAACGGGATTACTCACTAGTACTCTGAACACAAGATATCCTCTCGCGAAAGAGTTCTTCGCGTCTGGAATCTCCCTGGACGGAGAAAATCCTCACACAAAGAAACACTTGCTTGTCATTCTCCGAGACTACGCTGAGCTCTTTGAGTTTCCTTATATCGGCGCGCCCGAGGCTCGTTGTTGGCACGCCGATACTATTTTATCGCGGTGACGTGAAAAGAAATTTTCATTCGTCCAGCATCGCTTGTAAGATCGGTCTGTGTCCTGTCAGAGCATACGATGAATTCTACTTGGCCACCTGAAAAGCATGGATCCAGGATGAAGGCGCACTTGTAGAGTGACTTGATTGGCGGCTAAGTCCTGTATGTCCTGCTAACATACACATCCTGCACGCGTGATGCCATGATGCCAAGCACCGTGGAGAAGTAGCAGTTCCCATGCTCGCAACCCGTAGATCAACCTCACGTTGGATGCGGACTAGCTGTGGATGCCATTGTACGATGAGCGATCATGGACGCGGCAAGCCGGGGGAACGAACCCGCCAACATCTTCCAAGTAAGTAGAGGATTCCATCCCGGCACAGATCATCGGCCTTCTGGTCACTGTTTAGAGCTTTAACGGTGTCGCATGCGTAGAGCTGCCAACTCCCAGATTATCGGGTACTCTGCGCATCAGCCAATGATATCGGGTGCATGACACAGACAAGATGGCTAGGCCGTCCACACGAAGAGCAGGTCAAGAGATTATTATTGCAAGTACTCGAAGAATATACATACAAAGGCCATGACTATTACTCCCTCACTTAAAATAATAAATCTGGCGGGTAAAAACCGTCAGCAGAAGTTCAATGCAACAGGAAGAGAATCCGGATGGGCAAGGGGAAGGGGGGCCCTCAGACGAACATAGTTGTCCATCATGAATGACATCGGACATATGCTTGTATAATGATTTAAAAACATCGTTGGGCAGGAGAGAAAGGGAACAGAGTCACGACTGAAAAATGTACTCACATGTTCGACAATATGCGGCGGCGTGTAGACTTGGTTCAGTGCATCATTAAGCCCATACCAGACCTGAAAGATAGAAGTTTGTCAGTATGGTGAAACTCACGAGGAAAAAAACAGGCAGAGATGGAAAAAAAGGCTCAGTTGGTGATGCATGTTACGAGTAGGATCATGGAGGTCACCGTCTCGAAGATGGAAAGGTATCATCAAAGCCAAAACATAGACTCGCGCACTGACCTGGATATCCAAAGCTGATCACCATGTCCGTTTGAGAGGGAGTCAAGAAGAGTCAAGAGCAAGATGCAGAAGATCAAAACTCGACTGAAAATATTATTTTCTACCCAGGGATTTCAGCACCTGCCCTAAACCGGATCGCGCAACTATAAATCTTGCAAACTCTGATCGAGTCCTCACATTCCTTTCCACTCGAACGGCTGGCGTCCCAACTTTTTTCAGTCCAGTGAGTCCTGCTCTTGATCTTTACAATACTACATTCCGTCCCATTCGCGATGAATATATCAGTTCTGCTTCTGAAGGAGCCCAATCTCTTGTAGACAACGATAAACCAAAAAACACACTGATTTCCTCTCACTTCATTCGTTCCCTTCCATTCTTGCACAAGTTCGCCGCTAACATCTTTGGTTTCTCTTAGGATTGTATCCATTCCTCTGGCTATTTTTTACTGTATAATTGGTGAGCTTCATTTCTTACCGTGTCAACAAGACGAAACAAGTTCATCCATTCGTTGAACGGCCTTGCCGCCTTACTCGCTTCTCTGGACCACTCTCATTCGTGAGGGCTGCGTGCGCTCGTCCCGTCTTGGGGCGGGTGTGCCGGTCTGGGTTTTGTTGTATACCGAGACCGATGAAAACACCGGCTTCTCTGATCTCATCGTCGTTTTGTGGTGTCTAGCATGATCAAATTACTGACCACCGCTTTTCATAGGTCGCTGGGAATGCATTGTTACTTAGAACGGTTGATTCTGTAAATAATATACCTGAATGCTATCTTCACTTGCTTGGAGCTTGTTTCTAGGCATTTGATATGTTGTACGCTCTCCTTGCTCTGTTCGACCATGTGGACAAGCAGTTGTCCCTGTGAGCAACATTTGCTGCAATGATTCAGATCGATAGGATAATGGATTCCTCTGGAAGAGCAGATAACATAAAATAATCTGCAGTGGCGCAGAGGTAGAGGCAAGTGCCGTATTGGTGACGATAACGAGAAAAGCAAAGCACAGCAGCTTTCGAGTTCCAGTGCGCCTTCTAAATCCCAGACTACCATTTGAGACAAACTAGCTACAGATAGTCCATATTTACAGTTGCTTTTTATGAATACACAAGTCGAACACGAGCCGAAAGATCTCTGCGCATCTCCAGGAAATCGCAGGCCAGGTCACGATGAAGATGAAGAGATTAGAGGGGAAAAGTGCGGTCCACCACGAAAGCAACGAACACAGTACTAAGTAACAAGCAGAAGAAAGAAAGGGGATGCTACAATAACCAGGCACAAGAAAACAGAAATAGCATTCCTTCTATGCACGCGGCGAGGATGCCCCCGACGCAATGGCAGGCTTCTCTCCTGGCACATCATCACCCTCCTTCCCATCCATAGCCTCCTGGATCATAGTGATGGTCGTCTCGATGCTCCTCCTCCTCGTACTCGGGCTCGTCTTCGTGGTTCCCAGGCTGGCCTGCCTGCCGTGCCCGCGCCTGAACGGTATCGTGCCGCCAGGGGAGGACGGGGTGATGGGTGATCCAGGCGAAGCAGGGCTAATTGATGCACTGGTCAAGCCACCGCTGTTGTTGATGGCGGCTTCGAGGCCAGATGCGAGTCCCGATGGCGAAAGGGGGGTGTCGAAGCCTTCAGAGGGAGTTTGCGGGTTAGAGGAGTAAGTCGTGCCTTCCTCGGCGTCGAAGAGGTCCGGTGGCAGACGCTCATTCTCGATATCTGACTTGCGGCTAGAGCAGCGACAGAATGGTTAGTTACATCCAGTGTTCCAGGTATAGAACATACGCGTCTTCGAAGCCAGCGATGGCGTCTTTGATTCCTTCAGATCCTAGGGCAAGAGTACCATAAGGAAGCTTGTTGGAGCCGGATGCGCTTTTGAGCTCCGACACCTTCTCTGATTCCTCACTGAAAAGCAAAAAGTTTGTGAGCGCCAGATGGCCACAGGAAAATGCTGTGAAATGAACGAACCGAAGCAGTGCAAACACGCGTGCCATCCGGCCAACAGCAAGGATCTTGTTCTTAATGATCTTCCTCCGTTCGGCGGACTCTTCAGGCGTGGACGTTGGGGATACAAGGGCCTTCTCCTCTTCCTCTTCTTCTAGCTCTTCTTTAGAGCATGTGTTGAGTACAGCAACTAACATGTCGGTGACTGCAATGTATTGTCATTATTTTCGATCAAGTGGGATCGGAAGCGAACGCACTCTTCTCTCCGACGAATGGCATACTCCATGTGAAGACGTCCATAAAGTTGGGAAGCCAGTATGGATGCGGAGTGCAGTTGAACTGCCGAATGTTCATGACATTGCTCTCGTACTTGAGCACGGCCGCTTTGTTGTTGTAGACGTCGAGGTAGTTGGGGGCAGAGAAGATGGTCATGACAGAGGGGAAGCCTGTCGTTTTCGTCTTGCGATACATGCGATACCTAAACCAATCGTCAATGAGGAGGAGATCATGGAATCTTGTTAAATACATACCCTGCATCCTGCGCTTCATGTGCTCGGATGATAGATAGTAGATTGTTCCGCTCTAAGAATTGACAAGCAGCTTGATAACTGTGCATCCTGTTAGTTATATTCAAAGGTGCGAAGAAAATGCAAAGGCTGACGTGAAGAAGTATGAACAACCGCGGACATGATTGTGGATAAAACTGTCTGTGATCTTCTCTTGGCCAAAGTCTTCGACGGGGTCGGACCAGAGGATATCACACATAAGACCGTGGGTAGGAGGCTCTCGGAAGCGGTCGATCTAGGCACATCTATCAGGCAATCATTTTAGAGGAAAAGGAGAACACAAACGGCACGAATATCGTCAAGGGTGTTCAGTTCAGGTGAAAGACCACCGTGGATGCAAAGGAACTGCTTGTTCATGACCGCAGCGAGAGGCAGTGAGCAGAAGGATTCCATACATGCATCATAGATGCGCTCTGAATATTTGTGTTTGCCTGCAAATTTATCAGAGGAGATACTGGTATTATGCGGGACACTTACATTCAAGTTTGAAAGTGAAATAATCTGTCAGGTGTCGACATTCATGATTGCCTCGGAGGAGGAAGAGGGAGTTGGGGTA